CTCAAAGAGACCTATTTTTGAAAGAACCTTAAACCGAGTACCTTAAAAACTAGTCTGCAACCTCTGGGTATGGGTTAACTCATGGCTTCCTTTTTCCCACTTCTCAGAGCAAGTGGGAGTTTAGGCTTTGGCTCCTAGTCATGGAGGCTGGGAAAGCAAATGTGTTTTCCAGAGCAATTATGCATATAAAGTTCAGGCAGATTGAGCATTCCCACTACTGGGTATATAGCCAAAGGAAGTGAAATCAGTTGAAGAGATACCTGCACTCCCATGTTTATTGCAGCACTATTCATAAAAGCCAAGATATGGAATTAACTTAAGTGTCATCAGTGGATGAATGGATAAAGAAAATGTGGTATATATACACAATAGAATACTGTTCAGCCGTAAAAAAGAATGAAATCCTGTCATTTGCAGCAACATGGATGAATCTGGAGGACATTATGTTAAATGAAATAAGACAGGCACAGAAAGACAAATATCACATGAAACCACTCATGTGGAATCTAAAGAAGTTGATTTCATAGAAAGAGAGAGAGGAATAGTGGTTACCAGCTAGTGGTTGGGGAAGGTAGAGGTAAGGGGGGAACAGAGAGAGATTGGTAAACAGGTTCAAAGGCACAGTTGGGAGGAATAAGTTTTGGTGTTCTCTTGCACAGTAGGATGACTTAATATTATATATTGTAAAATAGCTAGAAGAGAGGATTTTGATTGTTGTCACCAAAAAGAAATGATAAATGCATGAGGTGATGCATATGCTAAATACCCTGATTTAATTTTTACACAGTGTACACATGTATTGAAACATCACACTATAACCCATAAATATGTACAATATATTGTGTCAAAAACAACAAATGTACAGTTCAGGCAGCCTGGACTCCTGTAGAAGTTGGTATTTAGTTTTGAGAAAAATCCTCTGGTTTTGCTTCTTTATTCATCTCTAGGAGTGGATAATAGTGGGGTGAGAAGTATGGTAATAAGACAGTTTTGATTCTGAGGTGGGAAAATATCAGGTCTATTCTCAGTTGACCGTGATACATTGGTCTGCTTATGTCTTTAGCTTTTAATCCTAAGAAAGTAGTGCAATCATTTTCCCCACCTTACAAAACTTTTACAGTTAAAGTGATTAATTTTAAACTCTAGATGGGGGAGAAGATACTGCTGAGGTGTTAAAGAATGTAAACAGGGACTATTGAAAGAGAAAAACAAGTTTTCTGTGAGGAATGCTGTACAAAAATATATACATCAAAGTAAGAGGAATACAGCCTTCTCTGCAAACAGCTCTTCACTGTTTTTCTTTATTTATGGCTTCACATTTCTGTTTTTTTGTTGGCATTGTCTTGCATCATCATCCTTTCAGGTGTCCTTTCCTCAAATTCAGCCTCAGCCCTGCTCTTATAGTATTTCTACTACCCCACCTGAGCCTACTATGAGCAATCTTTAGGCAGCTGTTTCTTGGCAGAGGACACTTTATGAAGCAGCTTGGATTTCTGTAGAGAAGAGCAGGGGGTAAGGATAAGGATGGGTCTGCTTCTGGGATAATTGTTATGGGAATGAAAGGGCTGTTGAAAGGTTAGAGGCCGATGTGCCTGGGTACAAGAACTGGGGTCATAATAATACTTTGTCTTTTACCAGTGCCTTTTGTCCAAGGCACTGAAAAGGCTTAACAAAATTCTGGTCTGAATGATGTTATTCTTTGCTTTTTGGAATTTGCTGGAGGTGGCAGTGAGGCCCTGAAAATAAAAATGTGTTATAGAGGCATAAAAGGAAATAAGCTAGACACCGATTCCTAGTTAAGAAAATTGGTGGAATTAGGTGAAATGATGTTTGCCCTTATGTGAAAATGGGCTGAGATGGTTTAATGGAAATGTTGTCCTTTTCTTCCCCACCTATGTACTTGGTGACTTATTCCTAAGCGGGGGGGGGGGGGGGGGGGGGGGTTTTTGGGGGGGGGGGGGGGGGGGGTGTGGCG